TCAGCTGAGTGTTTGTTGTGACAGTTAATTTAAAGATTGATTGTTATATTATAATGTTGTTTTCAGATGCTGGGGACTTCTAGCAATGAAGATGGAAAATCGAAAAATTTATGCGGGTGGAATATAGCGGTGATTATACCGTCAGACGTGACATCTCCCTCCTTAGGAAAGTTCGGTCCCCGAACTTTTATTAGTAAGTATAATTTTATGGTTATGTCGTATAGAGTATGATTATATTTATAGATAATTAATTATTTATGTGATTTTTATTATAGGATTCTAAAGTGTGCCTGGCAGTGTAAGAGCTGTGTTGCTGCAGTTGGATTTATCTAAATCGAGGTAATAGTTCCATTGTTTAGCAATGTGCTTAAGTAGTTCTATAGATTTGATTAGTAATATTGTTTTTTTTTTTTTTTTCTTCTCTCTTTTTTTTTATTTGTTTTATTGGGTATATACACATGTATATTTGTACTTGCGTACATATATAGACGCGCATATTTGTTTTCAGTGTTCATTCCTTATGTTACTTATTAGGATATTTATTAATATAGGTTATTCTTATTTTATTATAGAGCTGGTTATCTATACTGTCACCGTGATTTCGTTGGACGGATATGATAAGGATAAATTAAAAGTAAGTTAATGCTATATTTCTATCGTTACTACATTTATTCATATAAGTTTTAGTCTCTCCCCTTTTTTAATTTTTTATTATTTTTGTGTAAGTATATTCAAGTATTTGCCGCGTATTCTTTCCTTAGCTTCGTCTAAATCCAGGCGATAAGCAAGATTATGTAGTCTTTTTACTTCTAGCATAAGGCTTGTCGTTGACATTTTGCTTAGCTCTGTAAGGATAATTATTTATTGATTATATATAACGGTTTTATCGTATAAGAGTGCAGTAATTAATATATTTCGTTATTGTTATAGGTGAGAAGAGGTAATAGTGAGCTGAGACTGAATTAATAAGGATAAAGGATAAGTATTTCAATCTTATTTTATAATCTTATGAATATATATATATATATGAATAAGAATATTAATGTATTTTTGTTCATTTTATTTCAGGTAAGGAATAGGTACGAAATTATCCTGGATGGGCTGGTTTTACGAGTGTGAATATGAATACGTTATAATAGTAATCTTACAATTAGTAAAGCATGTGAGTTACTTGCATTTTAAGGTTGACTAAATATATGTGTTTTTCTATTTTCTATTATATGCGTGTGTCAGCGTACTTTTTCCCCTTTTCTATGCATGTATATTAAAGTTAAAATATAGAATTAAGATTATATTCTACTGATTGCTACGATTGAATTTTCAAAGTACTTATTCTAAGGAAATTAAGGTCCTCCACCGTGCTCATTAAGTATAATCATAGGTTAATGTATAAAATTAATATTTTATTTCGATCCCTTCACCATGTACATAATAAAAATGTTAGTATTAGGTTAATGTGGTCTTATAGTAAGGTCGCTCGCTAATGTTTATTTTATTATTTTGAGTAATGCTAACGCTAATATAAAGGTGCTAAATAATAAGACAGTTCCCTGTAAG